AAATCTCCCATCTCTTAAAAGTCAGAAGATTACAAGCAATACATGAAGAAACATTTACAATTATAATCTAAAAAAGAGTCCATCTTGCTTGTGTGATTTTGATAAATGTTAATTTTTACAAATATTCTTTCAGACCAAAAATGTAGCTGAACAGCAACAGTTAAGAACAACAAGCTTTGTCATCAATTGCTTTCGTTACAGATCTGCAAACATTTGTAATTTGATAGTCTAACAGTTTAAGAGAAGAACACAATTTGTATCAATTTTCAAAACTTATTTTTACCTGGTTTGATACTAGTAGTTCATCATTGTTCATGTCAATAAACAATCTCATCATAGATACCAGGATAAATTTTCTACGCCAGACGAGCGTTTCGTCTTCTAAAGACTAATCAGTGACGCTCAAATCAAAAACATTTAAAAGGCCAAATAAAGTACAAAGTTGAAGAGCTTTAAGGACCCAACATTCCGAAAGGTTTCATCAAATATAGCTACAGTAATCGATTCCTGGGTAGAAATCCTTAATATTTCGAAAAATTCAAAGTTTTATAATCGGGTAATTAATGATTAGGACCATATCAGTGATCGTTCATGCCAACAACTGTGATATGCCTGCAGATAGTTAATGCTATAGGGCTTTTTCTGCTTTGTGTGCCTTAACTGTTAGTATGTGTTTTAAACGACTTTATCTGATTTAAAACTACAGACTCAAAAGAGCCTGTGTCGCTCACCTAGGTCTATGTGCAATGAACATTTTCAAACATAATGAACATTGTAGACTAGAAAATAATTCATGACTATAATCTCTTTTTTGTTGATTATTTTTTCGGTTTCAATTTCTCCCAAAACACATAAAGGGTAAAAAAAAATCATTTAGAGGAAATTAATCTTAGAAGAACACTGACAATTTCATCAATGCTGTTCCATTTGCAAATTTTGTCTTGCTGATCATTTTTGCTTATTAAAGTTTCTATCTATCTATTAAAGTTGTCAAGATGATAGACACAAAATTGATAAAAATCATCGTTTGAGAGCAATGACTCCTATAGGGAGTCAGTCAACTGGCGATTTCAGTAATATTGGCTGATTGGTAGATCTTGTCTTGCTGACTGTTTTATGTTTAAAGCTGTTATCTATCTATTACAGTTTTCAGGATAATAGGCAAAATGGTAAAATTCGTCATGCAAGGGCAATAACTCCTATAAGAAGTCGTCTGACATTTTTTTATGTAAATATACAGTAGATAAAGCTCAACATTCTGAAAATGTTTGCTCGTCAGATTGTTTTCTTATCAATAGCGGTTTTCAAGAAAATAAACAACTTGCAGTTTACCCCAATCTAATTAAAATATAGAACTCGGATTTCTTTATACTACAAACGAGTAAGTAGTATAACGAAATCCGAGTTCTATATTTTAATTAGATTGAGTTTATCCTTATGTTCTATTTTCAGCCATGTCGGCCATGCTGGTTGGCAGGTGAGGTCATCGGACATTGAACAAGATACCCCAATAATGAGTGTGGCCAGGTTTAATTAAATTTGGCTCAGTAATTTCAGAGGAGAAGATTTTGTAAAGTTAACAGACGATGACGGACGCCAACTGATGGGAAAATCTACCACTGGCCCAAAAGCTAAAAGTGAATACATTTTCCCCACAGACATTTATTTAATGTTCAGAAATATTGACCACTCAAGTCCTTGGATGCTTGGCATGGTCAGTGGGTGTAGACGTGAAGGAGACGCAATCATACAATATGAATAGAGCCGATACGGGCTATACAGAGCAATGAGACCGCTACCCTATATGACAGTAAACTGTGGATACAGATATGTGTCCTGCCTGTTTGTAAATTTGATATATAATGCAAATGTTGGAATTTGGAATTAAGATGGCAACACTAAAACATGTAAACTATGCAATAACATTAACGGTACAAATTTTTCTGCACCAGATGCGCATTTCGACAATAAATGTCTCTTCAGTGGTGCTCGAGGTCAAAATATTTGAAAATCTAAAGCTTAATAAAAAGGAGAAGAGCTATAATCCAAAAAGGACAAAAAAGAATAGCCAAAGCCGGGCATGGAATCAGAGCTTTCCATGAGGGAGATATATTCCTCAATTTAAAATAATTTCTAAAAAATTTTAACAACAAATTTTAATAACAAAAAATCCGTATTTCCATGCCAGTACCGAAGTACTGGCTACTGGGCTGGTGATACCCTCGGGGACTAAAAGTCTATCAGCAGTGGCATCGACCCAGTGGTAGTAATAACATTAACGGTACCAGGAATGTTTCTGCACCAGATGCGCATTCACAAATTAACTTTAAAATGTCAATGAACGATGGTCCAGGACGCAGGGCAAATAAATATCCATGGAAATAAGATAGATGCAAAACTAAGGCTATAACAACTGCATAGCAAATATCAATGACTTATCATTTATGGTTCCCCTTTAACTAACCATGATTTGTATTAGTTATTGGCTTTGAACTAGCATTCAGTATGCGTCTGTCTCAAGTCCGGAGACATTATTTTAGTAGTTGTTGTCATTTTGGAACTTTTTATAGCTTTGCTATGACTATGTGGTATGAGTTGTGCTCATTGATGAAGGCCGTAGAGTGGCCTCTAGTTGTTAAAATCAGCGTCATTTAATGTCTGTTGGATAATTGCCTCATTGTCAATCATACAAAATCTCCTTATTTTAAGCTTTTAACGATGTAAACTTTGCCGAAGTTTCAAAGTTATTGAACCATGGCTGAGGGGGCAGGCCGTATCTCTATGGAAATGAAATGCGCTAATTCTTATACATTTCATGCTGATATCCAGTTGCCAAAAATAAACAAAGTAAGTGGAACTCTTTACTAGAGAAGGTAAGCATGGCCAATAAAGTTGGTATATTTGAATTGTTTACATGCATCTGTTTCGATGGCCTTTACAAGTTTATTTTAAATGCATAATTAAGGACTGTTTGCAACTAGTATACGTGTTTATCTCAAATTATAGTGTGGAGCTTTGGGATATTTGTATACATTTAAGTTAAAGACATATTTTCACAAAACAGATTATGGTAGAGGCAAATACCTATCATTAACTTACAAAAGAGAGGCGAAAGATACCAAAGGGACATCCAAACTCACAAGTCGAAAATAAACTGACAAATTAACGCTATGGCTAAAAAAAGAAAAAAAGACCAACAGACAAACAATAGTACACAAAACACAACATAGAAAACTAAAGACTGAGCAACACGAACCCCACCAAAAACTGGAATGATCTCAGGTGCTCCGGAATTTATGGTTCCCTTTAAACTGACCTTTTCACAAAGATTAACAAATTGCTAAAGCCGTCACCTGAACCAGATAGCCTAAAAGAGGGACGAAAGATACCAGAGGGACAGTTAAACTCATAGTTCGCAAAACAAACTGACAACGCCATGGCCACAAATAAAAAGACAAACAGACAAATAATAGTACAGATGACACAACATAGAAAACCAAAGACTAAGCAACACGAACCCCACCAAAAACTGGGGGTGATCTCAGGTGCTCCGGAAAGGTAAGCAGATCCTGCTCCACATGTGGCACCCGTCGTGTTGCTTATGTTATTACAAATCCGGTAAATAGTCTAATTCGGTAAGTCACATTCGTGAAAAGGGAGGGTATTGTAGTTACGACATAAGGAACATATCCGATATCATCTGTGAAACGATTATTCCATAACGGTCAACCAACTCATGATGGCGTCCGTAAAATTTACGAAGGGATGACTTCAACTTCACCATTTGGAACTCTTGGTTTAATAGCTTCCTTGTGAGCAGCAATCCTCTATCAAGGAAATCATGATAGGAAACACAAGCCCGGGAATATCGTATCAATTGGGAGATATATACTCCGTATGCAGGCGCTGCTGGAATGTTGCTACATAGAAATGGAAAGTTCACAATTGGAAAGCTGAAATCATCTCTTTTGTCGTAAAGTTTTGTTTTCAACCGACCCTCATTGTCAATTTCTAGATGTAAGTCAAGATATGAGGCAGACTTAACTGTATCTGTAGTATCCTTTATCTCCAGTTCGATGGGATAGATTCGTTCAACATAGTCACCAAATTTTGTATTATTTAGTGAGAGAACATCATCTATATAGCGGAACGTAGAGTTAATTAAAAGGATATTGCTAACTTCTTATCTTTCTTCCTAAGAAGTTCCTGTATGAAGTCAGCCTCATAATAATAAAGAAAGAAGTCGGCAAGAAGAGGGGCACAATTGGTTCCCATTGGAATTCCGACAGTTTGTTGAAAAACACGTCCTCCAAACGTAACAAATATGTTGTCAATCAAGAAATCAAGCATCTTGATAATGTCAGTTTCAGAGAATTTTTTGTTTGAATCAGAGGGATTCTTTACAAAGTAGGATTTATCCCTCCCCAAGACAAGATACTTGTATCTACGTTCGCCATTCTTTTTAATGAAACAAAGTAATACCAACTCTTTCAATTTGTCTTTTAGTTTGGAATGGGGTCTCGCCTACACAACTTTGAGGTGAGACAAAAAACCAAAAGGATATATATATATATATAAGTCTAAATTGAAAACAACGTTCAAAACTATGATTGCGTTGGATAAAAACCGCAATTTTTATACGTGTGCATGCAAAACAAATTTCTTGGTAGACGGGTCTAAATACAGCACAAAGAACATTTTCCAAAAGACCAAAAAAGTGAAAAAGTATATTTAAACAAAACGCATTTGACTAACAGGTCGAACAACAGATGTTCTTAAACCCTGCTGACCGCCATATATATATATATATACATAAAAGGTCATGGTTTTTTTTTTTATTTAAAGTTTTTGATATTTTCCTCAATTATTATATTAATGGTTTACGACAAGTTTAGTCTAAATTGAGATCAATTTTTAAACTTTTCAACAAACAGCAAAATGTTATAATACAGTGGAAGTAGGCCAACTAACCCTGTAAAGTAGAAATAAGTAAAAGAATATTAAGTGTGTATATAAAATTTATTAACAATATGTAAAATTTCAATAATGAACTAAAATTGTTGACCATGATGCATATGGATATATAAACTTCAAAACAAAAGGATTTGTATACACAAAATTGGTCCCACTATCATACATAAGCTGCAATTGAAATGAAAGTCTGCTTTTTCAAAGTGGCACATAATATCAAGACATGCATAAATCATAATATTTGGCAAGAAGAATTAAAAGTATGTTAAAAATTTGAAGAATGTTTAGTATGGACTCTGCTATTCCTGTAAAGTGATATATTGTTGGCTAGTTCAATAAAAAAGCAACCAATGCTATGAGGGTCTGAATGGGGCCCTTCATTTCTGTAATTTTTTAGGCCATTTTTCTCTATTCTTTATAATTTTTGCCCATTATTCTCTATTCTTTATATTTTAGCACCTCATTATTCTCTATTCTTTATTTTTTGGTCCATTTTTCTCTATTCTTTATATTTTTTGCCCATTATTCTCTATTCTGTAAACCCCCATCCACACCCTCATGCTATCATACAAAGAAAAGTATTCAATAACCAGTCAAGCATTAAATATAGAATGAAAAGTTTGCTGAAATGTGTTGGATACATGCACAAATTTGTATGGATTTCATCTAGACAGACTAAACTAGAGGCTCTCAAGAGCCTGTGTCGCTCACCTGTATTTACTGATGCTATTGAAATCATGTAAAATAAGGTTAAAATCATAATTAATAGTATTAGATATTAGATATTATAATGATATCTAAGATAATAACAAATAAATGTGGATAGTGTCCACATGTGGACACAGATGATACCCCCCCTTGCATATCATATAGTTATAAAGGGACATAACTGAAGAACGGTAAATTTCGTACTTAATCTGTATTATGTAGTAATAAGCATTGTGTATAAGTTTCATAACATTTGGTTGAGGCAAACTAAAGTTAGAAAACGGAAACAAAAAATTTGTACTTGATTTTTAAGTTTTGTGGGAATGAATATTGTGTATATAGGTTTCATAATGTTTGGTTGGGGCAAACTTAAGTTACAGAATGGAAACTAAAAATTTTGCAATCTTTCGATTTATAAAGGGGCATAACTCAATAATGGTTAAAGTGACACTACCCTAATTCAACTTGATCTGTGTTTTAACAGTGGAAGTCAAAATTAAACATTGAATTGTATAAAGCATTGATTGTAGTTGATTCAACTATAATCATGGACAAAGGAAGATAACTCCAATTTTAAAAATTACTTGAAATTTAGAAGAAAATACAAATTTTGCAATTTTTCCCTTTATAAAGGGGCATAACCCTAGAACGGTTAAAGTGACGCCACCAAAATTCAAACTTGACCTGTGTTTTGTGGTAATAAGCATTGTGTATAAGTTTCATAACATTTGGTAGAGGCAAACTTAAGTTAGAGAACGGAAACTAAAAATTTGGAAATTTTTCCATTTATAAAGGGGCATAACTCTAGAACGGTTAAAGTGACGCCACCAAAATTCAAACTTGATCTGTGTTTTGTGGTAATAAGCATTGTGTATAAGTTTCATAACATTTGGTTGAGGCAAACTCAAGTTAGAGAACGGAAACCAATTTTGGGACGTACGGACGGACGTACGTACAGATGGACAAGGGTAAAACTTAATGCCCCCACCGCTACGACGGGGGCATAAAAACTTCAAAATTTTTGTAAAATTACTAACTCAGGGGCAGCAACCCAACAACGGGTTGTCGGATTTGTCTGAAAATTTCAGGACAGATAAATCTAAATCTGATGAACATTTTTGCCACCTGTCAGATTTGCTCTAAATGCTTTAGTTTCAGAGATATAAACCAAAAACTGCATTTTACCCCTATGTTCTATTTTTAACCAAGTCGGTCATGATGGTTGGAAGGCGGGGTCATCGGACAAATTTTTTAAAATAGATACCCTAATAATGATTATGGCCAAGTATGGTTAAATTTGTCTCAGGAGTTTCAGAGAAGAAGATTTTTGTAAAAGATTACAAAAATTTACAAAAAATTGTTAAAAATTGACTATTAAGGGCAATAACTCCTAAAGGGGTCGACTGACAATTTTGGTCATGACAACTTATTTGTAGATCTTACTTTGCTGAACATTATTGCTGTTTACAGTTTATCTCTATCTATAATAATATTCAAGATAATAACCAAAAACTGCCAAATTTCCTTAAAATTACCAATTCAGGGGCAGCAACCCAACAACAGGTTGTCAGATTTGTCTGAAAATTTCAGGGCAGATAGATCTTGAACTGATAATCAGTTTTACCCTGTGTTAGATTTACTCTAAATGCTTTGGTTTCAGAGATATAAGCCAAAATCTACATTTTACCCCTATGTTCTATTTTTAGCCATGGCGGCCATCTTGGTTGGTTGGCGGGGTCATCAGACACATTTTTTAAACTAAATACCCTAATGATGATTGTGGCCAAGTTTGGTTAAATTTGGCCCAGTGGTTTCAGAGGAGAAGATTTTTATAAAACGCTTAAGACGACGGACGACGATGAGGACGACGACTATGGACGACGGACGACAGACGCCAAATGATGAGAAAAGCTCACTTGACCCTTCGGGCCAGGTGAGCTAAAAAGGGTACATTCACAAGTTTCCACAAAATTAAAGGACACTGATCTATTCATGCAGTTTGTTTTCAATTTATATTTTTTTCTAATATCACATGCCTTAATGTAGAAAGGCCACTCTTTACTGCATGCATAATTCCAGTTAATAGATATAAATTCTCTTAAGCCTAAAAATATTTTCCATTTATTGTGACATATTTTTTATTACATATTCTTCTGTGTACAAATCTTCCATTAATGATTGTCCTGAATATGCATGAAAAATTGCATTTGGTATTAAGCCTAAGCAACAATCAGTCAATCCTATAATGACCACATAAAATTTTGGTCATTTCTGAGAAAATTATAAAAAAATATATTTAATGAATAAGTTACATACAGGGATAGAGCTAAACCAGTGAATGCCACAATATCACAACTTGCATAAAAATGGTAGGCTCAGAAATTTTCTTTGCCAACACTTTCACATACAGTACTATTAATAACTTCAGCTGTCAACAATTGTGAATCAATACATTTGAAATTTTACAGGAATGTTTGCTCAATCAAAAATAATAAAATTTAGATTAAAAATAATAATCATCAATATTAATTGCAATAAAAGAGTCAAAATATTTAAAACTTTTCGATGTCGCTTCATGATATTGGTTAAAGTATCTAAAACAAAACAATAAAAGAATCCAAACTTTAAAAAAAGAATAATATTGAAAATTCATGTTTTGCTTTGATGTTAATGTACAGTATTTTAAAACCTTTATACAAAGCAATAACTACCAATGTTTAGTTTTATTCCTCTAAGTTTAATTAAAAACAAAGATAAGAACTGGATTAAAAAGTTATTCTTTTTTTGCAAGACCGTACATGAAAATTTATTATGTATGATTTTGTAGCCATCTTGCAAAAATGCATCCGAGATTTTTATTTTGAGATTCTATATATATATTTGTAAAAGCTGAATGATGCAATAATGTAGTAACAATACTAAAAAACAGGACTTAAATACCTGAATTACAAGAGTTTTCTCCCCCAGAAATACAAAAGTTAGAATTCTATAGAATTGCATACAATATTTGAATTGGTTCACACATAAAAAACATAATCAACAGAAAAAATCTACATTTGTACAAGATTGCTCAGTACACAGTTAAACATCGAGTGATACTTGGCAGTTTTTTTTATAAATTGAAGAATTACATTTTAACAACTTTTTTTTATAATTTGCATGCATGTATAAGCAGATGAGCACTTTTTTTAGTGTTTACATGTTCAATGGAAAGCCCGTATAGATGGTTTAAAATATTTTATTCCTTACAGAATTTAAAATAAATAACAAGTCACAAGAAACAAAATGAAGCCAGATTTTTTTAATCTAAAATGAAACAATTTGGTAGATCAAATTTCTTTCAGAAACAGAACGTTAGCTAGTATATAAAAAATGAATTTGTCAAACAATAATAGTATGTGATTTTATTTTTCAAACTTCAAAAACTAAAATTACTAAAAGCAAATACTGCAGATATATTTCTACAGTAAAAGGCAGAGAGTACATGTAATTAAAAAACAAAGCTGTAACAAACATTTACATGGTTAAGGTACAAGACAGATCAATAAGAGTTCAAATACATTAGAAAAATCTATTAAGCACATGCATTAGAGCATTTAAACAAAGGTCTTTAACACAATGGTTTGGTTGTAAAAGAAAATAAAGAGAAAGCAACAGAATTGTTGGTATAGACTGATTAAACCTTTGGAAACTGGAATAGTCAAAAATTGCTTTTAATAATCTTAATAAACTGTTAACACAGAGATATGTCTCGCCTATTTGTTATTTTGATAATGCAAATGTTGAAATTAAAATAGCAATACTTTAACATGTAAGTTATGCAAATATTCAAAGTCAATGAACCATGACTGAAGGTACAGGGCTAAACAATCTCCATGGAAATGAGATGTGCCAATGCTAATACAACTGCAAACCAAATACCATTGACTTTTCATAAGTCTTTCCCTTAGCTTTAAACAAACCTAAACACAAACATAAACTTGTAAACTATGTAAAAGTTTCAAAGTCAATGAACCATAATTAGGGGGTTGGGTTATTATTATTATAATCTCCATGGAAATGAAAATTGCAAATGCCAATACATTTGCATACCGAATATCATTGACTTAACATTAGTGGTTCATCTTAAACTGACCTAATCACAAACTTATACATGTAAACTAAGCAAAAGTTTCAAAGTCAATAGACTATGACTGAGGGGTAAGGACCAAATATTCTCCATTGAAATGAGATGTGCTAATGCTTATACAACTGCGTACCAATTATCATTGACCTACCACTAATGGTTCCCCTTAAACTGACCTAATCACAAACTTATACATGTAAACTAAGCAAAAGTTTCAAAGTCAATAGACCATGAATGAGGGGGGCGGGGCCAAATAATCTCCATGGAAATGAGATATGCCAATGCTTATACAACTGCATACCAAATATCATTGACCTACCACTAGTGGTTCCCCATAAACTGACCTAATCACAAACTAATACATTGTTGACGCCGCCATCGTCGTCGTCATCGTCACCGACGCCGGAAACAGCATACCTATGTCTCGCTTTTTGACTCCGTCAAGGCGAGACAATGATTATCATATTGATTCAAAATTATTAATATCAATCATAATAATCATTTGTTTATTTTTTGTGAGGTAACAATGCATATGCAGTAAATACTATGAATATATTTTCTTTGATGGGGAACCTGATCTTGTGGTTAATCAAACCAACTATTAAATCTAAAATCCACCAAAAGTTTTTGGATTATTTAGTCTTGTTCAAAATAAATACTATGAAATATTTTCTTTTATGGTGTACCAAATCTTATGGTTAATCATAGAAAACAATATCCAACAAATCATTTTGATTATGTACTTCTATTTTGTTCATGCCTAAAACCAAGATTAGTTATCTTAGTGAACCAATGCTTTGAAGAAATCCACCAAAACTGAAATAGGCAAACAAAAACTCTTCAATAGCAAGTGATTTTTCTGCATATTTCACATTGTCGAAGCAGCTTTTTATATTTCATTTATACTAGTTAATTAGTCAATAATTGACCGAGTTTTTCCAAAATTCATGCCAGCTTGTGAGGCTACTTTATTTGTTCCTGCTTGAAGTCCTATAACAGTTTGTCCTGCTTTTAATTTCTCTTCTGAAAAATTCCTAGGATTGGATTCTGATTCCCTAACACCCAAGACTGGTCCTGTGTAACCGTTTTTCTGGGCCTGAAATGTTCATAATTTGTATTAAGCAATCATCTATCTAATATTCTTTGTGAGTTTATTTTCATTTTATCTCATTTTTTTATTTGAACAAATATTTGAAATAATGTCTAGCCTGCTTTATTCGAGCATCACTGATGAGTCTTTTGTAGACAAAACACAAATCTGATGTACAAAATTATAATTATAAATAAGAAGATGTGGTATGAGTGCCAATGAGACAACTCTCCATCCAAATCACAATGTATAAAAAGTTATCAATTATAGGTCAAAGTACGGCCTTCAACACGGAGCCTTGGATCACACAGAGCAGCAAGCTATAAAGGGCCCCTAAAGGACGAGTGTAAAACAATTCAAACAGGAAAACCAAAGGTCTAATCTATAAAAAAAATGAGAAATGAGAAACACTTATGAACCACACGAACAAACGACAACCACTGAACAACAGGCTCCTGACTTAGGACAGGTCATAAAAATGCAGTGGGTTTAAACTATTTAATAGGTGCCAACCTTCACCCTAATCTGAGACAGTAGTGTAACATTACAACATAAAAAGCCTGGTTTGTTTGATGAGTCTTTTTTTGCTGATTTGAATCCAAGTGGAAAGTCTAAAGTTTTACTACCATTACCACAAAAACATCACATTATCAATAAACTAAAGAAAATGAGGTCATGGTCAGATGAACCTGCAAGATGGACATATGTACCTTACAATCATTCTATACACCAAATATAGTTGAACTATTGTTTAATATATCCAGGAGACAGATCTAACAAACAAAACTGAATATTGACCAATGAACCATGAACATGAGATTTAATAAGGTCAGATGAACCCCACCAGACAGACATGTTTACCTTGCAATCATTCTATACACCTATTCAGCTTATAGTATCTGAGAAACTTGCCTAACAAAAAAAACTTAACTAATTTGACCAATGAACCCTAAGAATGAGGTCAACTGGTCTGATTAACCCTGCTAGATAGAAATGTACACCTCACTATGTTTTCACACAACAAATAACCTTGACATTTTTCTTATATTATCCGCCTACATTTCTTTAGCAGGACAGGATACTTTTTTCAGAAATATTTATCAAATGTTATAAAGGATAAATACCGAATATGAATGAGCTTTTAACTTTACCCTAATGTCAAACATTAAAAATATCTTTTTAATGAAATGAAGATTTTTATATTCATATTGCCTTTTGCCTACAAATCTGAGATGCTTCCCCTGCCTTGTCTATTTCCCCTTTTCAAAAATATAGTTTTACATAAACATAAAATTCTTTTCAGATTTTTTATTTTTTGACGCTACCAATGTTTTAGTTCACCATTCGTTTATTTATATTAAAGATTTGAAGTTACATTTCACTAGTCCTGAATATTCATGAAATATTAGCAACTGGATTTTAAGCAAACAGCAATCAATTAATTTAAATGTTTTTGATGAAGGCTAATCCATAAAAAAAAAACATCAGTAAATTTATTCACAACTATTTAGATTTAGGGTGATTGAGAAATTGACATACTGTTTTATAAGACATATATGTCTATTGTAATACACCCCATGTTTTCTTTTAGATTTTGCATTTTTGTTCCATTCAACTGCTGTTTTATTGTCATACACTGAACATTCAAACATAGCATATCTAGTATGTTTGATTTTAACAATTTAATTTTGGTAGGCAAAACAAAATTACTTACTTTTCTGCCTAACGCATGTATTGCATTTACAACTTGAACCATATTTTGTCCTTCATATAAATCTACAGTTTGAAATAAATCATGACGAGAGACACCATATTTTTCTATAGCTGTTAAAAAGTTTGAAATATTTTCCATCATTTTAAATGCCATTTTCCCCTCATTCAATTTTTTCACAGCACCTGGACTTAATGTATTTATTAATCTGAAAAAGAAAAGAAATGGTTATAACATATCTAAATAATTGCTTCTTTTATTATGACTTATTCATTTTATTTTTAAAATCAAGGGTAAACACTGTTACTTTACATAATTTTTGTAGTACTAAAAGTCCTTGGATCAAACTTTACTCAAATCATCTTCTTAAATACCTTTGAGATGACCCAAATTTTAGATTTTTAAACAGGATTATTTCCCCTTAAGAGATAAAATTACAGATTGTACATTTGTTATGTTTTCAAAGGAAATCATACAGAAATAGATAATGATCATAAAACCTAAACAACTTTTATATTATTTATCTGTTCTTGCAAGCAATCCTGATGTTTTAACCTTTGTCAATCATATTTATTGAACAGAACAAATATTCATCAAAATCAATTATGTTGTACATAATTTAGATCTATGAAGCACCACTTCATTTCACAAAAGAATATGGGTTTTTCTCATTGTTGAAGGCTGTATAGCCTATACCTATAGTTGTTAACTTCTACGTCATTTGGTCTCGTGGTGAGAGTTGTTTCATTGGCAATCATACAACATCTTCTTACATTTATACTATTAGGAGTAAAATAATCTAGTCTTGCACACTTCAGTCATTGTCAGTATACCAGTAAACAATCAAATTTTATCAGAATATTTTTTTTCAAAGAGCAGCCATACTAATATATGTTACAACTTCAACTCTGCAAAACCTGGCTTCAGAAATTAACCACATATGTAAAACAAAACATCATTTTTCACTATACACAAAATCTGATATAGTACAACAGAAACATTTTAAAACCAATTCTAGAAGGAACTCTTTCATACTCAATACAGTTTTTTTTTTTTTAGTTGGTATATATTTGAAAATCAAACTACTTTTATTTTTTTTTATTTTGACAAGTGACCTTATCATCTTCTGGCAACCTCTGTCCTGGAAAAATGATGTTTGGCCATGCAAAAATCTGCAAGGACTATCAAGAAAAGTTCTCTTAACTAGCCATTTATAATCATTTAGCAATAAATTTTTGTTGTAGATTGCATTCCATCTGTAAATTAATGATTTTTTATTTCATGATACAATATAATTTACTTACTGACATAATATTTTACCATCTTTCAAACATTGTTGAAATTCACTTTGGCCTAGTGCTTGATTTGGATCTGCTCCCTGTTCAAATTAAAAAAAAAACATGAATAAGATGAACCTTGCTTTATATGGGGAGATAACTCAGATAACTTAGTTTTATAAATTAAAAAGAATTATCTGTAAATATATCTTTGGTGTTTTATATGGCAAATTAAAATGAGTATGATATGATGACCCCACTTTTCTTTTCTGAAAACATTTTCTAAGAGATATATTTTATATTTTTATTTAAAATTCTATCATTAGATTTCTTTCTAGTAACATAATGCGTATTATACTGTGTATAATCCCTATAAAATCTAAGAAGTTGCACAACATATTACATGTATAATTTGAAAACAAGCTTAGTGACATATTTTTTTCAATATATATTTTCAAAATATTTTGAAGTTTATTTTATAAAAAAAAAACACTCATTCTATTTAGACTCCTGAGTGATCTCTCCAATTTATTTACCCAACAAAGATTGTTTAAAAAAGATCACATGTGGCTATATTTTCTGCCCAAAGTCCAACATACCCTCTTGATTTACTGTTCTTGGCTTTTCCTGAACATCCATGAAACCATGATTTGCCACTGAATATTAAGCAAATAATATTTTCACCCTATCGATCTTGTTATATTTATAATTACAATCTTTTCCATCTTTTTTTTTTTTTATCATACTGAATTTACAATATATTCAATCTTATCTGTCAAGTCTTGTTTAAAATGACAATTGTAAAAACAGTTTTTATTCTACAAAATAGGTCACCTCTTTTAACTCTAATTGAAGGACATCTTCAATCCAGATTCTGGCCTCTTGTTCTAAATTTATATCATATTTCCCTTTAATCTAAAAACAAATAAAATATTTATATTATTGTCTAGAAATTCAAATTATATAATATATATGTAATTTAATAGAAAAGTTAATCGTATCTGACTCAAAACATGTATTTGACCTTAAACATCCTGAGGATTTATATACCTATCATGTATTCCTTTAAGTCTATATACTTATGCAAAGTGTGCATTTCAAAATGATGACATACTTGTATAAATATCGTTTATCTACACCTTTTGAAGTTTAATCATATTTTTCGTCTATTATGTCAAAGTGAGCTAGAAAACTGATAGCTCAAACAGGAACAAAAACTTCCTTTTTAAGAACAAAAATAATAAAAAGAAGGATGTTTATATGTTGATGATTTAAATGGATTGAATGTGTACTTTTGTATTCAAACAAAAACTTGAGAAAAGTTCTTGCTTCATAAAACATGGGACCAAGACTGTGCATGTTTCTATCCTTTTTGTATTGACTAAATGATAAATTCTTTTTTTTTTCTTCAAAATTTAACTGTTTCTCAAGTCAGACTAATTGTACAATTGTTTTATGTTTACTACTGTTCATGTTTTTTTCAATAAAAAAGACTGATGAGAGAGTTACCCAACAAGACGTTTAAATAAACAAGATGTATGCAGAGTTCTTTATTTCAGTCCTGTATATTAAATAAAAAAGGTATTTGGTATATAATTATTTGAAGGCTTCAACACCACAAACCTTTCGTTGAACTTCTCCCGTCAGACCATATGCCATAGGTCTATAGGCCATCACGTTGATTTTTCTTATTCTGAAACATAAGAACAAACTTATACTAGATATCATTGAGATGGGAGCCATCTCTGTGAGCCCCGCTGTGAATAATTTGTGGTAAAAAATTTGTATCTTTATCATTGGACATGGGGTTGTCAACTGAAACCAAAGTTTTTGACCTTGACCTTTGACCTAAGAAGTTGTACATAAATTATGACACACCCTCTGGTGTTGGTTTATATACATATCAAGTATAAACTTTGAAATCATAACGGTTCTCAAGATATAGAGTGGACACGATCTTTACCATAGGATATGGGGTTGTCAACTAAAACCAAAGTTTTTGACCTTGACCTTTGACCTAGGAAGTTGTACATACATTATGACACACCCTCTTGTGTTGTTTTATATACATATCAAGTATAAACTTTGAAATCATAACGGTTCTCAAGATATAGAGTGGACATGATCTTTACCATAGGACATGGGGTTCTCAACTAAAACCAAAGTTTTTGACCTTGATCTTTGACCTAGGAAGTTGTACATACATTATGACACACCCTCTGGTGTTGGTTAATATACATGTCAAGTATAAACTTTGAAATCATAACGGTTCTCTAGATATAGAGCGGACACAATTTGTTAAGGACGGACGGACGGACGGACGGACGGACGGACGGACTGATCACTATAGGGCGTCCGCCTTTCGGCGGGGCCCTAATAATTTCATATATTATTTTCCCCCTTTAACTCACCCCATTCTATTATTTCAGGGCAAGATAATGTCTACAGAAATCCTGAAAAGTACAGTTAGTGGACCAAACTGAATTTGTAGTTTAAAAAGAGAGGCGAAAGGTACCGAAGGGATATTAAAACTATGTCAAAACAAGATTGTGTCCACAGTACACGGATGACCCACTCTCACTACCATTTTCTATGTTCAGTGGACCGTGAAATTGTGGTCAAAACTCTAATTTTGCATTAAAGTTAGAAAGATCATATCATAGGGAACATGTGTACTAAGTTTCAAGTTGATTGGACTTCAACTTCATCAAAAACTACCTTGACCAAAAACTTTAACCTGAAGCGACCAAAAACTTTAACCTGAAGCGACCAAAAACTTTAACCTGAAGAGGGACAGACGGACGAACGGATGGACGGACGAACGGACGAACGGACGCACAGACCGAAAAACATAATACCCCTAGGTGAGGCATAAAAACGATCAAAAGACAAATAACAGTATACAAAACACAACATAGAAAAATTACGACTGAGCAACATCAATCCCACAAAAAACCGATGGTGGTCTAAGTTGTAAGGTGAACAATGTAAGGGTAAGCAGATCATGCTGCACAAAAAAGGTGCACATATTGTACCTGTCGTGTTGCTCATTAAAATGAGGTTCCTCAATGACAAAACACGATAAGTACCGTATATCTGGAAATTTTCGCGATGTTCGCAAATCTATTTTATGGTGAAATTTCCCTTACTCAAAAACTCTACTGTTCATTTTTTAAAATGCATTGAACAAGGTCGTGAATAATACAGTGATGTGATGGTCCCAGGTAAAACGGACGTCTCTCGTCTGGCAGTAAAGCTCTTGCTAAAGTGGGAGCCCGGACGTTATTTCGGCTGTGCGGTATGTATAAATACGCAGCCACGTTCAGTTGGAATGGCCACATTCAATTCGATGTTGTGTATATATGGTGAGCGCCACACTCTCTACATGTTAAAGAAACCTTGCAACAACTCTCTGAAGGGTTCGTATATAGGTGACCTTTCCAAATTTTCCAATATTTTAACATACCCTCATTTTCCAGAGGCAATCAAAATTTACAACTTTTCATTTCAGTTGACTTATTTGTTAGAACCTACACATTGCATATATTAATTGTTAATTTGTTCTTGTCTTGATTATGCATGAAATACTTGTCAGTGGACGTAAAACAAGCCATGATCAATCAATCATATAGATTTTGTAAAACGTTTTCATCCGAGAAACAAAAGGCAGTAACAATATATATCATTCACCAAGTCACAATACTTTTCTCACACATTTTAAATATATATTATTATATACAATCCGCTTTGTTCATCTTAAGGTAAGTTTTAACTATACTACAAAGCGAGGTATCTATAGTAAATGTTTGTCTAATATGCATCCTATGTATCATTTATCAAACCAAATTTCTTTTTAAGTCTACACAATGCTTTCTCCTCAAATGTCTACTACAGTTAAAAGTTTAAATGGCACAGTTTACAATAGAATGATTTTATAATTCAGAAAAATAATAAAGAAGGTGGAAAATTATAGTCCTTTACCGTTTATCAACGATCAAATTCTCGAAGAAGTGGTAAATTTAAATATCAAATCACCTTTTATATATATGTACAAAATTAATGTAGTGTGTGGAAAACAGACCGTAGCTAAATAAACGTATAGTATAGTTGAAATTGCAAATGTAAGACGAGAGCGGGGAGTTATATCTACAGTCCGATAAGAATTTGTCACTCACGATCGAGTCAAAAGAAATAATGCGGTCGTTGATTTTTAGAAGGGTATGGTATAGCGTGATGGACCTCAAACAAAGAATTCTGCATGAACCAGATACTAGGGGCCATCTTGAACTTGCAATGTGGTGCGAGTTTTTGCTCCATGTTGAAGGCCTCACTGCGACTGAGATGAAGAACCATTAAACACGCTGTTCTGTGATGTTTTGTTTTTAAACTTGTGCATGTAGTGATTTTGTGACACTATAATTGATAACACAATATTGATCAAATCAAACATGAATTTCAGGACATTGCTACATTATCTCTTTCCATTTGATTACTATAATATACGCACATGCAATGTACTGGGACCGCCTCGGTGGTCTCATGGTAGCGTGTTCGCCTCGAGTGCGGGAGTTCGTGGGTTCGAACCCCGGCCGGGTAAACCGAAGACTTTAAAATTGGCATTTGCTGCCTCTCTGCTAAGCACGCGGCAATAAGGAGTAAGAGCAAAGACTGGTCGGCTCGGAGTCAGAATAATGCGTCCGGGTAAGGTGACATGTCTTCCTACTGACTGTTACCTGGTGAACTAGCACGTTAAAAATCCGGCTCAGCGTGTCGGTCTAGTACAAAGCAGGGTTAATATTCATATTACATAAACATGTTCTCGTCCTGAATATGCATATTAATTTGCCACTGGACGTAAAGCAGCCATCCATCGACACCATGCAATGTACTGGGCGTATGTGAAACATTTGAACAATTGAGGACCGCTACAGGTTGTATTGTATCCTGTATAGCTTGTATCACAGGATAACTCTCGTGCATATTATGTGACAGACAACATTTGCTCGTGCTTATCCTATACCAGATAACATTCATAACATTTTCTCGTGGGCATCCTGTACCAACCAGATAATATTCTCTCGTGTATATATTGTACCATATAACATTTTCTCGTGTTTATCCTATACCAGACAACATTCTCTCGTGCTTATCCTATACCAGACAACTTTCATGTTTACCAGATAAAATTCATAACATTCTCGTGTGCATATCCTCAAAGAATATACAATTCCTTGATATCCTGTACCAGATAACATTCGCTCGTGCATTTATTGTACCATATAACACTTCCCTTTGCATATATTGTACCAGAGTAACTCTCATTTATATATCTTGTACCTAAATCTTGCCTGATCCAAGTCGATATTCGGCATAGTTCCTTTTTAAAACAATATTAACGATAGTCATCCCTTTTCATATTCCTATAAATTATCTTTTCGTGTAATCAATACAACAAGTTTAATCAGTTGCTATTAATTCTGATGATTTCCAGGATGTACGATTGTTTTATTGGAATTTTATTGAACGATCTGATGTAATTACGGCATTTTAATTTGATACGAGTCGATATGGTCCTCAGTTTTATTGCGGTTATATATGTAATGATCCTACAGCACGAATTAGAATGGTACTGTATTCTATGTTCTGTTTGCGGGTATAACTAACTTGAGGTTTGCGTAGACCGGGATTGCTCTAACGTCTCGTGGCCTTTTTAGTATTTGCTGGTGTCGTGAAACTCGCTGAATAGTGTTTGCGAAGATGCTAAAGCGAAGGCTTCAACCATGTACGTAGTTTAGCCTGTTAATCATGGGTTTCTGAAAGTTTTAATAATGATTGTGGTCGTGCAAGGTTTCTTTAGTGTTCGTCACTTAAGATTGTGTGCACGTGTTTGTACAGCTTTGAACAAACTACATGCCTTGGTATTTCTAGAAATTTTTGTACAGTTTAAACTTTAGTAATTGTAACGAAGCACTAATACTCTCGTGAAACTATTATTCTTAAGAAAATGGATTCCTGACTTGTGATATGTAAGAAAAGTCACAATTCGTTAGTACTAAGCTGATATCGTGAATCCAACAACAAAACCGTATAAAGTCTCTCACTATGCAGTCGCAATTACGATACTGCAGTATAACTTTGAAGTGACAGGATTTAGTGCTCTAAAAAGTATTTCAACCATACCACAAAATAGTGTGTCTGTCCCAAGTCAGAAACAGGTTGCAGTTGAGTTTTATCATTAATAACATTGGTTTTGATTTTTGATGGCAGATCTTTGACTGCTTGATTGTTGCTTGACAAGAACAAATTAATAACTAATACAATAGGTAGCTAAGTTTTGTAAGGAATGAAGGGCGGGAAATTTGGACTACCACTGGAAAATGAGGGCCGGTTGGATAAAGGTGTACATTTTTCCTTGAGGTATTGCTACGGTTCTTAAAACGTGCAGATCAAGAGCATAAAAGAGAGGCAAAGGATACCAAAGGGACATTCAAACTCACAAGTAGAAAATAAACTGACAACGCCATGGCTAAAAAGAAAAAGACAAACAAACAACAGTACACAAAACACAACATAGAAAATTAAAGACACGAACCCCACCAAAAACTGGGGGTGATCTCAGGTGCTCCGGAAGGGTAAGTCACAGTCACACTACATTGAGCATCGGATTCAACGTCCCCATTCCGACCGGACGGC